CAGGTACCATGGCTCATCCTTGTCATGCCAGCACTTTGGGAGGCTGAGGCAGGAGGATTGCTTGAGGCCAGGTATTCGAGATCAGCCTGGGCAAAATAATGAGACTTTGTTGCTACAAAACTTTCAAAAAAGTTAGCCAGGCATGGTGGCACACACTTGTGGTCCCAGCTACTTGGAAGACTAAGGTAGACGGATTGCTTAAACCCGGGTGGTAGAGGCTGCCGTAAGCCACAGTCATGCCACTGTACTCCAGCCTGTAGTGAGACCCTGTCTCAAAATGAACTAAAATATTAGCCGGGCGCAGTGGCTCACACTTGTAATCCCAGCACTTTGGGAGGCCAAGGCAGGTAGATCATGAGGTCAGGAGTTCGAGACCAACCTGGCCAACACGGTGAAACCCCGTCTCTACTAAAAATACAAAAATTAGCTGGGCGTGGTGGAGGGTAATCCCAGCTACTCGGGAGGCTGTAATCCCAGCTACTCGGGAGGCTGAGGCAGGAGAATCTCTTGAACTTGGGAGGTGGAGGTTGCAGTGAGCCAAGATGGTGCCACTGCACTCCAGCCTGGGTGACAGCTAGACTCCATCTCAAAAAAATAATAATAAGATAAAAAATAAATATAATCTCACAGGCAGGTACTATTAAGTGTCCTAATTTACCATCCAAGTCACACAGCAGCTAAGTACCCAAAGTCTCCCCACAGGTAAGTATTGAAGCTCTTGGTAAGTATGCAAATTCCCAAGGACCTGACTTGGGGGCCCTGCTCTGAAACCCCAAACCTCGAGGCCTGCCCTTGGAGCTGCGTGAAGCAGTGCGGGCACATGAATATCCGTTGGACTCAGTTCCTGCCCATGAGTTGCTCACCACTCAAGGGGAGAGACAGGTGTGCCTCTGAAAAAAGAAAGAAGTATTGGAAAAAATAAAAAAAAAGATGAGGCCAGGCGTGGTGGCTCATGCCTGTAATCCCAGCACTTTGGGAGGCCGAGGCAGGTGGATCACCTGAGGTCAGGAGTTCGAGACCAGTCTGACCAATATGGTGAAACCCCGTCTCTAAAAAAAAAAAAAAAAAAAGATGAGATGGTGAGATGGATCCCAGCCCAACTGAACCCCAATGAGACCTGGTTTCCAGGCTCACTAGAGATTGTTCTCAATTCAGAAATCTCTAGTGATGCTGGGAAACCAGGTCTCATTCCACAGGTCTCTTGCGCCTGCTCCTGCCAGGAAGAAATAGACATCTCTGCTTGTAGCTGCCAGTGCAGTCTCATAGCAACGGGTCTGAAATTGCTCAGGAGGTGAACTCCACCCAGCCCAAGTTCTGACAGCTAATTAATTTCTGTGGTTGCAGCATGAACACCTCCCAAGCATGGGTTCCTTTGCTTCTAGGAAATTTGCCCCCATCTGCAGCATCTGTGAAAATCCCATCATTCCTCGGGATGGGAAAGATGCCTTCAAAATCGAGTGCATGGGAAGAAACTTCCATGAAAATTGCTACAGGTGTGAGGTGAGTGGAGCCCAGGTGGTTTAATAACATTCAATCGCTGTGTGCCAGGCCCTTGGCTGGGTTCTGAGACATGGGGACAGGTCAGGGTGGGGGCCCTGTTCTCAAATTGCTCACTGTCCAGTAGCAGAAACAAAAGATAAAGGAAATACAACTATAGTCTATTAATCAGAACTCTTTGCATTGATGATAGAAACCAAACTCAAATTGCTTTCTGCAAAAAGGAATCTGTTGGCTCGTGGTGGTAGGATCACTGAGGGTATTGAGTGATGGCATCAGGACTCTCTCCATCTCTTTTTTCTTTTTTTCTTTTTTCTTTTTTTTTGAGATGAAGTCTCATCCTTGTTGCCCAGACTGGAGGGAAGTAGCACAATCTCAGCTCACTGCAACCTCTGCCTCCTGGGTTCAAGCAATTCTCTGCCTCAGCTTCCCAAATACCTGGAATTACAGGCTCGTACCACCATACCGGTCTAATTTTTGTATTTTTAGTAGAGACAGGGTTTCACCATGTTGGCCAGGCTGGTCTTGAATTCCTGATCTCAAGTGATCTGCCCACCTCAGCCTCCCAAAGTGCTGGGATTATAGACATGAGCCACCACACCCAACCAAAATTCTTAATTTCTGAACAAGGGGCCCCACATTTTCATTTTGTACTGGATCCTACAAATTATGTAGTTAGTGCTGCTAAGGAGCCTCCAGAAACCCTCTCCCACCCCTTCTACTGCCAGCTCCTCATCACTGAAGCTTCTATCTTCTCTGGTGATGGTGACAAGGTGGCAACTTTTATGGGAGGACCCAAGTGGAGAGCCCCAGAGCAAATATCTTACTCAGCCGATGAGTAATTCTAAACACTTGTTCACTCCCATTTATTTAAACAGATACTGGAACCCAGAGGCTATTTGCACTGTGGTTGTCAAGGGAGCTGGGTAGAGAAGTTGATAAATTGCTGCATCATTACATTGTCTGTTGGTTGTAGTTCAAAGTCCTGCTGATAATGCATTTTGAAAGCCCAATGAGGAAGTTCAAGGACTGTTATCCCCACCATCGTCCTAATGAGTTCCAGAGTGATTGGCAGTTTCCTAAGCCTGGCCAGGAAGCACATAAACCCTCCAGTGAGTTAGCCAAGTCTCCTGTAGTAAGTCAGGATTTGGACTTCAGCAGTTACGTGTCAGAAGATGAGGCTCTTGGCCAGGTACAGTGGCTCATGCTTGTAATCCCAGCACTTTGAGAGGCCCCGGCAGATGGATCACTTGCAGTCAGGAGTTCAAGACTAGCCTGGACAACATGGCGAAACCCAGTTTCTACTAAAAATACAAAAATTAGGCCGGGCGCGGTGGCTTATACCTGTAATCCTAGCGCTTTGGGAGGCCAAGGTGAGTGGATTATGAGGTCAAGAGATTGAGACCATCCTGGCCCAAATGGTGAAACCCTGTCTCTACTAATAATACAAAAATTAGCTGGGCGTGGTGGCGTGCACCTGTAGTCCCAGCTACTTGGGAGGCTGAGACAGGAGAATCACTTGAACCTGGGAGGCGAAGGTTGCAGTGAGCCGAGACCATGCCACTGCACTCCAGCCTGGGTGACAGAGTGAGACACTGTCTCAAAAAAAAAAAAAAAAAATTAAGCATGGTGGCGCATGTCTGTAGTCCCAGCTAGTCAAGAGGCTGAGGCAGGAGAATCATTTGAACCCAGGAGGCAGAGGTTGCAGTGAGCCAAAATTGTGCCACTGCACTCCGCCTGGGCAACAGAGCAAGACCCCATTCCAAAAAAATAATAAATAAATAAAAATGAGGCTCCTGAGCCCCAGCAGCCTGGAAGGAGCTGAGTACTGTTTCCTAAGAAGGAAAATGGGTTTCCGTGCACTGCCCGCGCCTGCATCTCACCATTTCTACTTGCTTTGGGGTCCGTATTATTTATGACTATCGTTGGAAGTATAACGATACTTTTATGCATAGGTAGTGTTTTAAAATGTATAAAATGCTTTTATTAACATCACCTTGTTTAATCCTAGTGATAGCCTTGTGAGATGGGATTTATTGTCCCCATGTAAGATGAGGAAACAGATGGGGTGTGATGGCTCACACCTGTGATCCCAGCACTTTGGGAGGCTGAGACAGGAAGCTCCCTTGAGCCCAGGAGTTTGAAGCCAGGCTGGGCAGTAAGACCTCATCTTTACAAAAAAAATGTTTTGTATTTGCGAGGCATGGTGGTACCCGTCTGCAGTTCCAGCTACTCTGGAGGCTGAGGCAGGTGGATTGCTTGGACCTGACACAGGTGGAGGCTGCAGTGAGCCATGATCATGCCACTGCACTCCAGCCTAGGTGACAGAGCGAGACCCTGTCAAAAAAAAAAGAGGAGGGAAAACAGGCAAATGGTCTCAGAAAAGTGGTTCCAGCCACGCTTGCGTGGGCTGGGTTCGGCAAGCTTTCAGCTGCCGCACGGCTGCCTTGCAGATGGTATGAGACTTGGCAGTAGATGAGGTGTTTCCTCCAATTGGTTCTCATTTAGGAGGGGTCACAGGTGGCACAGATGCTGCAGCTGTGTAGCCCGGAGTCCACTTAAGAGACTCAAGTGGCCTTATACAGGGAAGAGACACTGAAGAGTGCCTTACCCAGCTGGCCATGGAGGAAGGCAGATTGCAGATGCTGGTCCCTACTGGGCCAGGAGGGCCACCTGTGACCCCGAAGTTGTCCCTATAGGGACTCTTTTGTGGGATCAATGCAGCTTCCAAAGAGTGCCCAGAACCAAGGCTTTGCACACAAACTTTCCCTTCTGTAATTCTCCAGCATGTGCCGAGGGGAGGTTTCTGGGGCAGAACAGTGATGTTGGCACTTTGGGCCCTGAATCCCTGTGTTCCTCGTTCTGAAATCCTTGGTGATTTGAAAAATTGAAAATACTAACATTTGTGCCAGTTTTGAAGCTGTGTGGGCCATGGAGCCACAAAAAGTCCCCTGGACCCAGAGCTTGGAAACCCATCTGGTCCCAGCTCCAGAACCAGCTGTGTGACCTGGGGCAGAGCCCACCCCTCCCTGGACCTCGGTATCCCATCTATGAAATGAAGAGACTGGACTAGATTCAGGCAGTCATCAGCAGATGCCTGTGGCTGGCTGTGCTGGGCTGGGCTGGAGACTTGGCCATAAATAGGGTTCCTGTCTCACAGAATTTATGTTCTAAAGGGGCTGTTAGGCTGGGCACAGTGGCTTATACCTGCAATCCCAGCATGGGAGGCGGAGGTGGGCGGATCAGTTGAGGTCAGGAATTGGAGTCCAGCCTGGCCGACATGGCAAAACCCTGTCTCTACTAAAAATACAAAAATTAGCCAGGCATGGTGGGGCACGCCTGTAATCCCAGCTACTTTGGGAGGCTGAGGCAGGAGAATTGCTTGAACCTGGGAGGTAGAAGTTGCAGTGAGCTGAGATCGTGCCACTGCACTCCAGCCTGGGTCACAGAGCAAGACTCTGTCTCAAAATAAATGAATAATAAACACAAATTTTAAAAAATATTTATTTTTGAGAAGGAGTTTCGCTCTTGTTGCCTAGGCTGGAGTGCAGTGGCACGATCTCAGCTCACCGCAAACTCTACCTCCCGGATTCAAGCGATTCTCCCTCCTCAGCCTCCCGACTGACAGGAGTTATAGGCATGCTCCACCACACCTGGCTAATTTTGTATTTTTAGTAGAGTCGAGGTTTCTCCATGTTGGTCAGGTTGGTCTTGAACTCCCAACCTCAGGTGATGCGCCCGCCTCAGCCTCCCTAAGTGCTGGGATTACAGGTGTGAGCCACCACTCCCAGCCTTAAAAAAATGATAAAGGGGCCGGGCGTGGTGGCTCACGCTTATAATCCCAGCACTTTGGGAGGCCGAGGCGGGTGGATCACGAGGTCAAGAGATCGAGACCATCCTGGTCAACATGGTGAAACCCCGTCTCTACTAAAAAAAAAAAAAAAAATGATAAAGGGACTATTAAGGCCCTTCTAGCCCCATCCTTCCCTGAACCCTCAGGGGACTCCCCCAGGTGTCCTCAGTCTTCCTGACAGTGAATGTCTGTCCTCACCCATGCCTCCACGTGGATTAAAGCCCCTGTGTGTGTCTGTGTCTCGTATTCCCTTATGGAGACCTGGCCCAGGTGCTGGGAGGACAGCCACGAGCAGCCTCCTTCCTCCTGCTTAAGGAGCACTTCCACTCATGCAGTTGGTTTATGTGGCAGATGCCAAGTGAGTTCCTCCGCTGTGCAGGCAGCGCCCAGGCCTGGGGTGGGTCTGCAGGTGTCCTTGTCTCCCCAGGACTGCAGGATCCTCCTGTCTGTGGAGCCCACGGACCAAGGCTGCTACCCCCTGAACAACCGTCTCTTCTGCAAGCCGTGCCACGTGAAGCGGAGTGCTGCAGGGTGCTGCTGAGAGCACCCTCTGGGCGTCGGGCAGTGAATGGACCACTAGCCCCAGCTGGGGCCCTTCCCTGACTTGGTTTCCCTTCCTGACCTGCTCTTGCACACTTTCTTTCTGAGCCTCCATAGGGACCAGCCTGCAAGTCGTCTCAGCCTGTCCAGGACACAGCGGGCTGAGTGCCCCCCGACCTTCCACTCCTCCTCTACCCTCTGGGCACCAGAAGACTCCTGGACCATGGGCGTCACCCCCAGAATTCCCTGCTGGGCCCACCCCACTTCCAGGGGAAAGCTGGGGGAAGTCTGCCGGGGCACTTGGACCCCTATCACTGACTGTAGCTGTCTGGTAGGGGTGCTGGGACCAGCCTGGCCTGTTGTAGGGTTGAGCTGTTTGAGGAAAAACTCCAAGATCCCTTAAAAAGTGCTTTTTAGGCCAGGCATGGTGGCCCATGCCTGTAATCCCAGCAGTTTGGGAGGCCAAGGTGAGTAGATCACTGAGGTCAGGAGTTCGAGAACAGCCTGGCCAACATGGCGAAACCCCATTTCTACTAAAAATACAAAAAATTAGCTGGGCGTGGTGGTGCATGCCTATAGTCCCAGCTACATGGAAGGCTGAGGCAGGAGAATCACTTGAACCTGGGAGGCAGAGGTTGCAGTGAGCTGAGATTGCGCCACTGCACTCCAGCCTGGAAGACAGAGAGAGACTCTGTCTCAAAAAAAAAAAAAGAAAAGAAAAAGAAAAATGCTTTTTGAAAATGTTGAGGTTGAAATGATGGGAACCAGCATTCTTTGGATTTAGGGGAGAGGGTATAGTAGCAAACACCTCTCTGTGGTTCACACGTACAAGAATGGGACCCAGTGGGGGCACAGCCCTGGACTTCCCCACCCTGGCATAGGTTATGCTAAACTGGGGCTGGGGCCCAGGTCCAGGAGGAGAGGTTGTTTCACAGACTCCCTGGGATGTCAGCAGCCCCCACCTGCCTTCTAGCACCCCCTCCCAGTGCTGCAGTGAGTCAGCAGGCATGCAGTGAGCGCCTGTTGCATGCTGGGAACAGGGTGCAGGGGCCAAGCGTGCCGCCTGGACATGTGACAGGAGCCATGCGCCCCCTCCCGTCCAAAACACACGAGTACTTCTCCAAAATGGTGCTGGGACAGGTGTCCCTTTGTCCCCCTGGTTATGACCTCAAGTCCCACTTGGGCCCTGCAGCCCAGCCTGTCTTGTAACCACTGCCTCCTCAAGGCCACACCTGGAAGATTCCTTTTGAATGAGAATTAACACTGTTGCTTCATCACTTCTAAGACATTTTGCAGGGCATGGACAAGTTGAAACAATGTGCTTTCCAGGCTGGGCGTGGTGGCTCACACCTGTGATCCCAGCACTTTGGGAGGCTGAGGCAGGCGAATCACGAGGTTAGGAGATCGAGACCAGCCTGGCCAACATGGTGAAACCCCGTCTCTACTAAAATACAAAAAAAATAGCTGGGCATGGTGGCACATGCCTGTAGTCCCAGCTACTCAGGAGGCTGAGCTGAACCTGGGTGGTGGAGGTTGCAGTGAGCTGAGATTTTGCTGCTGCACTCCAGCTGAGCGACAGAGCAAGACTGTGTCTCAAAAAAAAAGAATGTGCTTTCCTTTTCCTCCCTGGGGTCTCACTGTCCCACAGGCTCCCGGGAGACTCCCATAGCTGCCATGCACTGGGCAAGCTTCTCTACAGAGCCCAAGGGGCTTCAGTCTAGAGCGCAGCATCGCCCTAAGCCTAAAGCAGGGCATCCCAAACTTCTGCATTCACAGACCACCTCCACAATTGTTATAACCAAAGGCCTCCTGTTATTTCATTTAAATCAACATGCTATTTTGTTTTCACTCACTTCTGACTTTAGCCTTGCGCTGAGCCGTGTATCCATGCAGTCATGCTCACATGCTAGTTAATGTTTTTCTTCTTACACATGAAAATAAATGCATAACTGTTAGAAGCTCTTCTGTGTTGCATATAAGCTCTCACACAGGTAAATGCTAGCCTTTAGTAGTAGCCCCGGGAAAATGTTTGCTGGGCATCTGCTCGCCGTGGCAGGAGTGTCCGGAAAGCGCTGGGCTCAGCTCAGAAGATGGAGGGACTTGTTTCCTGCCTCATGCCCAGCACCAGAGGCTGGTGCCGGCTAGCTCACAGGTGTGCTTCTCCTGGACGTAGGTTACCACTGATGGGATTGGCTGCAGGGGCCTCACTAAGGCCACCAAATGCTTTATGAATGAATACTCAGGCTGGGCCTGGTGGCTGATGCCTGTAATCCCAGCACTCTGGGAGGCCAAGGAGGGTTGATCACGAGGTCAAGAGATAGAGACTATCCCGGTCAACGTGGTGAAACCCCGTCTCTACTAAAAATACAAAAATTAGCTGGGCATGGTGGTGCGCACCTGTAGTCCCAGCTACTGGGGAGGCTGAGGCAAGAGAATTGCTTGAACCCAGGAGGTGGAGGTTGTGGTGAGCCGACATCACGCCATTGCACTCCAGCCTAGGTAACAAGAGCAAAACTCCATCTCAAAAAAAAAAAAAAAGAATGAACACTCAGGCTGGGTGTGATAGCCAATGCCTGTAATCCCAGCACTTTCAGAAGCTGAGGTGGGCGGATCACTTGAGGCCAGGAGTTCCAGACCAGCCTGGCCAACATGGCGAAACCCTGACTCTTCCAAAAATACAAAAATTAGCTGGGCTTGGAGGCACATGCCTCTAGTCCCAGCTACTCAGAAGGCTGAGGCAGGAGAATCCCTTGAACCTGGGAGGAGGAGGTTGCAGTGAGCTGAGATCACATCACTGCACTCCATCCTGGGTGACAGAGTAAGACTGTCTCAAAAAAAATAAGTCAGGCTGGGTGCAGTGCCAGCACTTTGGGAGGCCGAGGTGGGTGGATGGGTTGAGCCTAGGAGTTTTTGAGATCAGCCTGGGCAACATGGTGAAACCCCATCTCTACAAAAAATGAGCCGGGCATGCACCTGTAGTCCCAGCTACCTGGGAGGCTGCGGTAGGAGAATCACCTGAGCCTGATGCTGAGGTAGGAGGTTGAGGATGCAGTGAGCTGTGACTGCCACTATGCTCCAGCCTGGGTGACAGAGTGACACCCTGTCTCAAAAAACAGTCCCAAAAGGCCACTCACCCCCAGGGCCTACTCCCTGCACATAACCAGGCTGTTCTCCCTCTGCAAGCTTGCACACTGGCCTCTGGGCTCACCTGGTGAGCACAGGCCCAGAGGCAGTTGGTGGTCTAAAAGAGTGCTGGCTTGGGGACAGGCCACCCAGAGCTCAGACCTCTCTCTGTACTCAATATCCTCAGCCTTGATGCTCCCATCTGGAGCAATTAAAAAAATTTTTTTTTATATAAACAGAGGGCTGGGCGCAGTGGTTTATGCCTGTAATCCCAGCACTTTGGGAGGCTGAGGCAGGTGGATCACGAGGTCAGGAGATAGAGACCATCCTGGCTAATATGGTGAAACCCCATCTCTACTAAAAATACAAAAAAAAAATAGCCAGGTGTTGTGGCAGGCGCCTGTAATCCCAGCTACTCGGGAGGCTGAGGCAGGAGAATTGCTTGAACCTGGGAGGCAGAGGTTGCAGTGAGCCGAGATCGCACCACTGCACTCCAGCCTGGGCAGCAGAGCAAGACTCCATCTAAAAAAAAAATAGAGGCCGGGCATGGTGGCACACGCCTGTAATTCCAGCACTTTGGGAGGCCGAGGTGGATGGATCACCAGGAGTTCACAGCCAGCCTGACTCACATGGTATAACCCTGTCTCTACTAAATACAAAAAAATTAGCCCGGCATGGTGGCACATGCCTATAATCTGAGCTACTTCGGGGACTGAGACCGGAGAATTGCTTCTACCTGGAAGGTGGA